ACATGATATTTTGTTATAGGGTACAAGAGATATACAGACATGCTGGTTGCTCCAAAAAATCAAGAATGATCTATAATATCATGGCTTACTCTTATTATGTTTTATCTCATGTTTAATCCAAAGACAGGACTCTAATCTTTATGATGAATTGATTATAATTGGTGACTTGCATTGCTTCATGAGTGGAAATGAATGATTATTTTTGCAGTATTGCAGTATCATTGCAGAGAAAAGGGTTGTGTCTGAGCAGCACATTGTTTGGCCTTCAAGGTCCTTAATATCACCTACGTTATTGAAGATGTGGAAGATGCCTACTAAAAAAACCATTATACGGAAAGGTATGTCTCAGATTCAACATCTATGTATTTCCTCTAATGATATTTTCTGATTCAAATGAACTTCGATTCAAATGTGATGTTTAGTTGCAGATCCAAGAAGCAGTGTTTGATACTTGCCACTGAATCGGAGAAAACCATCCAGTAAATACGGACCGAACAGAAAATCCGCAAAGAAAATTGACCAGAGTATACTTTATAGAATTCAGATCATTATATTCGTACGGAAGGCGATATATTGATATCCTCTCCAGATTCTCAAGAAAACAGATAAGACAGATATTCAGCTTTATGTCTCTATGGAAACACGACAGGTACCCTTACGAGGGGAGAGTATCAACTCGGCGTTTATAAACCCTCTCTGCAAAGGAGGTAGACGCATGGTGGGTTAGGTATATACAGTGTTCTTCATTGCAGAGAAAATTGTTGTTTTTCTGCCTGTCTCGTCTTCATTGAGATAGTTGATGAATTACAAAAATATGTCGCGTTCCAGTTATGAATGTTGAAAATAATATCCAGACTTTCCATAGATTCAAATTCTATGTAGGTCTCACGATTCCAATTTGAAATTGATACTTAGTTTTAGATCTGAACAGCACATTGTTTGGCCTTCAATATCCTCAATATTACCTACGTTATTGAACATGTGGAAGATGCCTACTGGAAAAACCACTATACGGAAAGAAAGCGGATATGTAGCAATCTAGTGACGGACGTTGAAAATATTATTCAGGTATGTCTCACATTCAACATCTATGTATTTCCTGCAATGATATTTTCTAATTCAAATGTACTTCGATTCAAATGTGATATTTAGTTGCAGATTCAAGAAGCAGTTGTTTGATACTTGCCACTCAATCGGAGAAAACCATCCAGTAAATACGGACCGAACAGAAGATCCGCAAAGAGAACTGACCAGATGAGTATACTTTACAGAATTCAGATCATTATATTCGTACGGAAGGCGATATATTGATTACCTTTCCAGATTCTCAAGCAGACAGATAGACAGATATTCAGCTTTATGTCTCTATGGAAACACGACAGGTACCCTTACGAGGGGAGAGTATCAACTCAGCGTTTATAAACCCTCTCTGCAAAGGAGGTAGACGCATGGTGGGTTAGGTATATACAGTGTTCTTCATCGCAGAGAAAATTGTTGTTTATCTGCCTGCCTCGTCTTCATTGAGGAAGTCGATGAAATTACAAAAATACATCGCGTTCCAGTTACGAATGTTGAAAACAATATCCAATATTCTATGTAGGTCTCACGGTTCAAATTTGAAATTGATCCTCAGTTTTAGATCCGAGCAGCACATCGTTTGGCCTTCAAGGTCCTTAATATAACCCACGTACGTAATTGAAAATGTGGAAGATGCCTACTGGAAAAAACACTATACGGAAAGAAAGCAAATATGTAGCAATCTAGTTAACGGACGTTCAAAATATTATCCAGGTATGTCTCAGATTCAACATCTATGTATTTCCTCCAATGATATTTTCTGATTCAAATGTACTTCGGTTTAAATGTGATGTTTAGTTGCAGATCCAAGAAGCAGTGTTTGATACTTGCCACTCAATCGGAGAAAACCATCCAGTAAATACGGACCGAACAGAAGATCCGCAAAGAGAACTGACCAGATGAGTATACTTTACAGAATTCAGATCATTATATTCGTACGGAAGGCGATATATTGATTACCTTTCCAGATTCTCAAGCAGACAGATAGACAGATATTCAGCTTTATGTCTCTATGGAAACACGACAGGTACCCTTACGAGGGGAGAGTATCAACTCAGCGTTTATAAACCCTCTCTGCAAAGGAGGTAGACGCATGGTGGGTTAGGTATATACAGTGTTCTTCATTGCAGAGAAAATTGTTGTTTATCTGCCTGCCTCGTCTTCATTGAGGAAGTCGATGAAATTACAAAAATACATCGCGTTCCAGTTACGAATGTTGAGAACAATATCCAATATTCTATGTAGGTCTCACGGTTCAAATTTGAAATTGATCCTCAGTTTTAGATCCGAGCAGCACATCGTTTGGCCTTCAAGGTCCTTAATATAACCCACGTACGTAATCGAAAATGTGGAAGATGCCTACTGGAAAAAACACTATTCGTAAAGAAAGCAAATATGTAGCAATCTAGTTAACGGACGTAGAAAATATTATCCAGGTATGTCTCAGATTCAACATCTATGTATTTCCTCCAATGATATTTTCTGATTCAAATGTACTTCGGTTTAAATGTGATGTTTAGTTGCAGATCCAAGAAGCAGTGTTTGATACTTGCCACTCAATCGGAGAAAACCATCCAGTAAATACGGACCGAACAGAAGATCCGCAAAGAGAACTGACCAGATGAGTATACTTTACAGAATTCAGATCATTATATTCGTACGGAAGGCGATATATTGATTACCTTTCCAGATTCTCAAGCAGACAGATAGACAGATATTCAGCTTTATGTCTCTATGGAAACACGACAGGTACCCTTACGAGGGGAGAGTATCAACTCAGCGTTTATAAACCCTCTCTGCAAAGGAGGTAGACGCATGGTGGGTTAGGTATATACAGTGTTCTTCATTGCAGAGAAAATTGTTGTTTATCTGCCTGCCTCGTCTTCATTGAGGAAGTCGATGAAATTACAAAAATACATCGCGTTCCAGTTACGAATGTTGAGAACAATATCCAATATTCTATGTAGGTCTCACGGTTCAAATTTGAAATTGATCCTCAGTTTTAGATCCGAGCAGCACATCGTTTGGCCTTCAAGGTCCTTAATATAACCCACGTACGTAATTGAAAATGTGGAAGATGCCTACTGGAAAAAACACTATACGGAAAGAAAGCAAATATGTAGCAATCTAGTTAACGGACGTTCAAAATATTATCCAGGTATGTCTCAGATTCAACATCTATGTATTTCCTCCAATGATATTTTCTGATGATTCAAATGTACTTCGGTTTAAATGTGATGTTTAATTGCAGATCCAAGAAGCAGTGTTTGATACTTGCCACTCAATCGGAGAAAACCATCCAGTAAATACGGACCGAACAGAAGATCCGCAAAGAGAACTGACCAGATGAGTACACTTTACAGAATTCAGATCATTATATTCGTACGGAAGGCGATATATTGATTACCTTTCCAGATTCTCAAGCAGACAGATAGACAGATATTCAGCTTTATGTCTCTATGGAAACACGACAGGTACCCTTACGAGGGGAGAGTATCAACTCGGCGTTTATAAACCCTCTCTGCAAAGGAGGTAGACGCATGGTGGGTTAGGTATATACAGTGTTCTTCATTGCAGAGAAAATTGTTGTTTATCTGCCTGCCTCGTCTTCATTGAGGTAGTCGATGAAATTACAAAAATATATCGCGTTCCAGTTACGAATGTTGAAAACAATATACAATATTCTATGTAGGTCTCACGATTCAAATTTGAAATTGATCCTTAGTTTTAGATCCGAGCAGCACATCGTTTGGCCTTCAAGTTCCTTAATATAACCCACGTACGTAATTGAAAATGTGGAAGATGCCTAATGGAAAAAACACTATTTGGAAAGAAAGCGGATATGTAGCAATCCAGTTATGGACGTTGAATATATTATTCAGGTTTGTCTCAGATTCAACATCCATGTAATTCATTTAATGATATTTATTTTCTGATATGGATATACTTCGATTGATATGTGATGTTCTGTTGCAGATCAGACAAGCAGTATTTGATACTTGCCACTCAATCGGAGAAAACCATCCAGTCCATACGAACCGAACAAAAGATTCACAAAGTGAACTGACCAGAGTATACTTATGGTGACTAATTATATTAAATACTTGGTATATTATGATTTGATAGTCTGACATCCTCGCACTAGGTCGCCTACTAGGTTTTCATTTAGATCGATAATGGTCTGACATTGATGTGACATTTTTATAATATAATTACAACTCAAAGTCTTATAATTTGTATCAATTGTATCCACGATTTGGTAACCCCGACGTGATATTATGGAGCAGTTGAGCGAGGGCGAGATCATAAAAATTTTAAGACATTTCAACATCCATGTCAGTTATTCGATGGAATTTTCTGATATGAAGGAAATGCTGACAGAGTACATTAAAAAAACTTATAAGGACCAATTCCACGAAGCCGACTACAGGAGCATTCTTGCAGAGATTTCATCAAGAATCATACCAAATAACTCATTTGAAAGAAGGTTTCAATCTCTATTCAACCGTGCAAAGAAATTGAAATTTCAAATGAGCTTTCACTCACCACCCCATGCTATTTAAATTTTTTGACAGGGTTGCACCCCTCCAGTGAGTAATGAAATTAGGAGTGAACTATTCCTACGAAAATGAACACTGTAGAAATCAAATCAATTCATTAAAAGCGGAAATATATTTTCATGACCTTATGCAAGCATGAAAGGTATATTCAGTATGAAAACGGGACTTACCTTGACAAAATATAGAAGAGAAGAGAGGAGCATAGGAACTGGATATGGAACACTATGATAGCAACACAAGTCTGAGGATTAACATATACATAGGACAAACGAGGATAAAATCAGGCGAGAGTTTCAAGGAACATACGGAAGGTGAAATCACGGGATATTCAAGCTTTTCTAGATACTTCAATTTGGTACTCACTTTATGTAATAATGGGCTTTCAAGGTCCTTAGTTTACCGGTATGGAACATAGAAAGCAAAAAAGTTTCACAGAGATCATCCAAATGCTGGCCAATGGCTAATACGTTGTAGCCTGAACTTTTTGCAGATGAATACAGACGGTGTCTCAATGGGGTCGTACAAAAACTGTAGACATTTTCTTTGGCTTCATCAAGTGTTTCTGAAAAAGAAAGGACAGAATAGGTACCTACTTACAACATATTCTGAAACTGCAAAAGTAACAACAAAAAGCATTAGAAGAGTGGGAATGATAAAATACTAGTTCCTTGTATATTCATCAAATTCGGTTTGTATTGGTACTTTTTGGTTGTTAGATTTGATCTGAACATTGATTCGTGTTAAAATGGGCGGAATCCTTGAAGAAGAGAACTTCAGGCTTCGATAATCTTGACTCAATGGCATAAATTTCGGTTGATACGTTGATATTTGAGGTGTACGTGAAAGTACGCAAAATTACGTATACTATAAGCCGACTACCAATGCAACTTATCTGATATTTACCATAACATTTCAGCTGATGTGGCATGAGATCATTAAATGTTTGATTTTTTTATGCAACCAGCCATGAGTGTGTCAATTTCCTGTTTAAAAACATAAAATTCTACGTTGTCCCTGCTAATTTTCATTAGACTTAGTTTATTGCTAAGCGATTTGATATGATCATGATATTTAAATATAAATAGATATAAATATATATTTCATTAACATTTACAATGAAATGACATGAATAATCAGACAGATTCATATCTGGTATGAGATTATTTATGTGTTATTGAATCTAAGTTATTGAAATGAACAACAGATTCAAAATTAATAATATTGAAACAAAAAGCTCATGAAAAGTACATTATGACATGATGAAATAAATTAGTAAATGAGAAATCATTCACTCAGGTTATATTTTATCTTTGCAAGAGGATATGTTTCTTGACTTTAATTTTGAATTGGGTGGTGATATCTGTGCAACTTTTGATATCAACAGGTAATTTATTGAATTTTGAGATAGTTCCGTGAGTGAACTTTTTTTGACTATGTGTAGAATAAGCAGCATCAAGATGAAACAAGTCATATTGTCTAGTATGATGTTCATGGATTTGAGAATTCCTTACCAATATGAAGTTAGATTTGAGGTGTTTGTTGATAATATCAAAAGAAATTCTGAGAGTATTGATTAGATAGTGCTCTTGCAAAGAAAATGTATTTGTTTCTTCATAAAGTTGATTTGATGGGGTGTCATTTGGAAGACGATACAGTACTTTTAATGCTTTTGTATATAGTACAGATATTTTGTTGGAATTGTTCTTGGAACATGAACCCCAAATATTTATGAGATATTTCATTTTACTAAGGATGTGGGAGTATAGAATGGTATTTGCTATATTTGGGGAAATTTTTCCTTTGAGCATGCCAATATGCTTGTCCCATGTTAACTTTTCATCAATCCAAATACCATGGTATTTGGTATAGGCAGTTTGTTTCAATCTTTCATTTTTAATCTTATACTCAAATAAATTATATATTAGTAGCTAACCAGTTTGAATTGACCAATAATAACGTCACCATCAGGTTTCATCGCTAGCATCGCTAAAGCTAAAATCGCCCAGAATGACAAGAACGTCTAGGAACGCTATCAAAGGGTGAATTCAACGAAGGAGAAGCATCATTTCGATTCCTCACCTGCTTCACTCTCTTCGCCGCTCTGTCCATCCTCCACCACATACCGCACCCCCAGCATCTTCAAATGCGGCACCAGTCCGCCCAAGTCACCACCCACAGAGCTGCTCGAGCTGCCCAGGTCGCCTGAGCCGCCCGTCCTCACCGAGACCACGCCCACAGTGAACCCCACCCCATCGGCGCAGGCGCGGTCGCGGTGTTGCAGCAGGGCGTGCAAGAGACACAGCGAGTCCCTGCCTCCGGAAAGGCAGACTAGCACCCGGTCGCCGTCCCTGACCATGTCGAAGTCACTGATGGCGTCTGCGCAGGGCTGCCAGACGGTTTTTGGAGGGCAGGGGTGGCGGTGTGCCGTGGTGGCGAGGGTGGTGGGGTCGTCGGAGAAGTCGCGGAAGATCTTCGGTCTTCGAGAAGGATAATCCGATCAGTTAGAGAGTTGAAATATGATCTTGTGTTTGTGAACAAATATCGTAAAATCATTTGATTCAAACAGGTGATAGCTATTGATATACTGGCCGCTAATGACAGATTTTGTGATACGTTATAACACAATAGTAGATTGTTTTATTAGGATCAAAAGTGACACTTCTTCATATGTCAACATCAGTATGACACTGAAAAGTGTCAAACTATAAGCAGCACAACTTTCAAAGAAAAATATTTTGCATTTAAATGTTAAGAACGGGAGCAGATTTGTTTCCGAATCGTCCAAAGATAAGTAAAAATTCGATATTTTTTCAATATATCTATATTTCTCTCATTCAAACATTTTTTCAAACAAGTTGTCACTGACAAGCTACTGAATTTTTCTTTTAGACTCCCTGATAGAAACATTTGTTAAACGCACTGACATTTTGGGGCAAATCATCTGATTTGTCCTACAAATATATTGAAATGATACGAATATTTTTATTTTATAGGAACGAGGAGAGAAAATCCCAAAGAATCAAGTGAAATGAATTGTCATTCTTTGACTCAAAAGTAAAAATCAGTGATAATAATATTAGCGAGACTATGGAATCGGATAAAGAAGAACTTTATGATATACCGCTGGATATATTAGAATCTGGGAAAATGATCATAGGTTTTTCATGAATTGATATGTGGATATAAGGAAACTGGGAAAAGCGGGCGGTAAAGTGCCACTTAACGCCCGCAAAACCGGGCGGTAAAGTACACTTTACGGCCCGCTTGTGCATAATAGTATATTCTTCAACGAGCGTATAATGATAGCTATTATTCCCGAGGATATGATTCCGAAAAGAGCCGTAGGCGAGTTTCGGAATTATCCGAGAGAATAATAGCTATTATACGCGAGTAGAAGATTATACTTTCTCTACGACTATACGATAGTTAGAAATTTGATGTAATCTAATTATTATTTATGAAAATGATATACTTGATGTATGAATTTTAATGATATTATAATACAATTGACAGGAATCTTCAATATTCAACGAACTCAATGATGAAACAACACAAAGTTATCACGATTCGAAAACGACGTCTAACCTGACTTGTCAGTCACTTACTGTGATTCTTGTAACGTTGGTTACGGGCCATGCATTGCAGAGGAGAAATGGTCTGATGTTTTTACAAGAACATGTTTCAATTGTGTTTTCTCACGCACAATTCTTGACTACTGAGAGCGAGGAAAATATGGACGCATCCAGAATGAATTGTTTTTCCGAGAACAAGTTGATTTTCATTCAATTCTCCTCCCAACCAAGATTCGAAGGGCGTTCCAGATTTGGGTCACTTTCAAGAAAACTCTAGATCTTTGATAGCCATCTTGAGTCAATTCTGATATTCAGATCTCTTCATCTGAAGTTTAATCTTCAAAATGAGCCTAAGATTTCCAAAATCAGTTGACGTGGAAAAAAGTTATGGCTGCAAAACCAAAAAGTTGATTTTTTGAGATCACTCTGTAAATAAGAGAGATAGGAAGTTGATTCGCGAAATATCTCGAGGTAATGAGATCATCTTCATGCCTCTGTTGTCGAAGTTGAGAGAAACATTTTTTTCACCATTTGAGAGCCTTTTGAACATTCCGAAATTTCGCACAGTGTCGGAAAACACCATGTAGAGATTTTATGTGAATACCCCTATGTTTCAATGAAGTACCAGATTATAGCTGAAGGACTGGGCTATCGAACAGTGTGAACCAAATTCAAATTGTTCTAAACTGAAAAAAGTTATTCACATTATAACAGGGGCGACATTTTGGTGTGCGACGAAATTAGTGTTGAGTAGTTTAGTACAATCATCATCATTATACGCCCTCATGAACCTTAAATCGACCCACCTTTGCTTCTGCAGCGTGGAGAACCTGACCTCCGACCCGGCCCGCCTGGGCAGCGACTCCGAGTTGCTCCTGGCCTTGACCTCGCCGCCCGCCTCCTGGGGCTCGTGGAAGCTCAGGTTGATGCCGCTGTCCTGGCTGCTGGCGCTCGCCGCCGTCGATCGCGCCGCCTCCTGGCGTCCGCCTTCGAGGCTCTGGTCAGCGGCCTGCGCCTGCTCGACCAGCTCCTCCGAGCTGGTCGACTTGCCCGCCGCCTGCTGGACGGTCTCGCAGCTGGAGCTCGCCGTGTACCTGGTGTAAGAAAGCTACTATGAATAGGAATTAGAATATCGAATCAATCCTAAGCTGGTTAAAATTACATCGCCCAGTATAAATATATGGTCGCCGTCCTGCGACTGCTCGGCCAGCGCCTCCGAGCCAGTGTTTCCAACTTAGTGGATTTTGTGACAAAATATGACATCTAGTGGATAGTGATATTATTTTGGTGATTTTTTTCAAATAAATGCTGAAATCTGGTGGTCTACATCCAAAATTATCCTTGTTTTATGAAAAAAATCTAATTTCAACAATGTAAAACCAGAGGAGAGTTTTTAGAGATATACTGGCTTCAACTGAAATCACTGTCCAACGGTTATTTCCACATTTTGGCTGTTTTTTGTAGGATATCAAATGTTGTTTCTTTATTTTTCTCGTTTTATACGTAGCATATACAAGTATGTCATTGATGTTATGAAGTATTTGTTTTGTTTTCTGTTGGAAAAAAGATTTTTTTCACATTCATTTATATATCGTTAAGCCAAGATCCGTTAACCAGCTAGACTTTCCACTATCTGATGTGATCTAGTGATCGAAACTGAAGTGAAAACCACCAGAAAATTACTAGATTTGAAAAAATTCTCGCCTGCAGCGCATTTTTTTTATTCCGTCAGGTTTGGTGTTTTTTTGGTGTTTTTCAGGTCTGAGTCTGAGTTGGCAACGCTGCTCCGAGCTGGTCGGCGGCGAGTTATTTTCGGATGATTTTTTTAATCTCAATGAAATTATTGACAATCTTCTGGGACCGATTAGGGTATGGAAAATATTCTGATAATATCGTCTGAGCAGAGATTGAGTGATGATCTTTGGATTTCTAAGCCTATCAAGCATCGAAATGTCATTGTATTCGGGCCCCAGCCAACTTCATCTATTTTGATAAAATGCAATTCAACAGCCAATTAATGAACGAATATTAAATTGTGATACATAGTTGAATAGAGAATATTGAGGCGAATAAGATAGTGTACAGAAATATACGGAGTGCATCTGAAAAAAAAAGTTGGGTCTACTTCCAATCAAACAGGTGGTTGAAACAAATTTTCGTTGGGTTCAAAGGAAGTGCCATCGTCGATGATATAACCCTTGTGAATTTCAAATTTTTACCTCTCCAACTAAAAAAACTACAAGCTGTTACATGTCTCCTGTGTCACCCGGTATATTGGAATAATGCTCGTATTTTTATTTTGTAGAAACGAGGACAGAAAATCCCAAATAATCAAGCAAAATGATTCTTTCCAGCTGAGTTTATGAAAAGGGGAAAACGACCGAACATCGAAATAAACGAATGAATAAACTCATGGCCGTGGCCGAGTTCGTCTATGCGCTGAAATTCGCTAGATAGCCGTTCACGATGTGAAGGAACTGTCGGTTCGAATCCGGCTATCCGCTGAGCATTTTTCTTAAAAATCTGGGATTCATGGTTGTAATCCTGGCAGCACCTCGATGCCCTAGAAGTGGTTCGAATTCCACTATAAGCTGTAGGTCCCGCTCTTCCTAACCCCGCACAAGTTTCGACTTCTGGGTAGTTGGTTCCCAACTTTGAAGTAGCGATATACAATTTTTTCATTCAATTTTTTTTACAAAATGAACAAACAAACTGACCTTTCAGACTCCTGCTTCGAGGGTGTTGCGTCATCGGCGTACGACCCGAGGCTGGCGGTCCTCGAGAAGAGGTGCTTGTCCTGGTTGTCAGGCGCGATGAAGACGTCCACGGCGCTCACCACGTCGCGAATCTCTGACTTCACCTCGTTGGCCATTTCAATGGACACTTTGCCCAGGTACTCGGCTACCTGGAAGGGAATTGGGTCATTCGAAGGGCTCTATATTTTTGAAATGTGCGAAGAGTTCTAATACACAAAATGAAGTGGAACACCTAATGATTTCGCTCAGATTCGAAAGATCCGAAAAAGTCAACCGATTTCAATTCGGTTTTCAGATTTCAGAAGCTCATTTCATTGTCTTGAAGATCATGAGTTCGGAAAACGAAAAATGGGAGAATGAATATTTCACAGGGCAATGAATGGTACAAGGTACAATGCATACTTGCATCGTATTTGGAGTGATCCCATTCTGTCCAAAAATTGTTTTTCTGGAATTCTCATAGAGTTTGATGTGATATCTCGAAATGGTTTTTTATTTTCATTGATTGATTCATCGGATGGGCCCCCTTCAATATAAAGAAGCTGAACCAAAAATAATGGAATTTTTATTTTATAATACTCATTCATACATTTTTACCTGTGAAAGTTCAATAATAAATCACTATACGTGAAGTAGGTACATACATACAAACTTTATAATTATAATTACTTGATTTTTCAATAATTCACTTCAAATTGAAGGTACCTAAATATTCAAAGTAAATGTTGAACTGAAATCACAATTGTAGTTTTGCTACATTCATGCAAAAAGCAGAACTTTATTGAACTATATTTAGTGGAAAAAGAAGTTCTTTATTGCACTTAGTGCAATAAAGTTTTTATTGCACTCATCTGTCATTCTACTTCAACGTGTTGTCATCATGACAAACATTTTTTATATTGCAACTGTGGTTATAGAAACGTCAGTCAAAAATTAATTCTGACAATTAACAGAATTGTACCTAGTGCCGCACCTCAATAAATCATTTTTTGCTTTTTGCATGAACGTAGAAAAAATGTTGTATGTTACTCGTGCAAAAATTGTTTATTGCACTCGACGTGAAATTGTCCGACGAGGCCGTGAGGCCGAGTTGGACATATAAATTGGTATAAATTCCATATTTTTTTCGAAATCATTTTGTAAAACTGCCATGAGAATGTGAAATTCCTATTTGAATATTTTCATAAATAAAGAAGTTAGGGAGGAGACATGAAAATGATCAAAATCTGTTTTTTGCGTATAAAACAAAAACGAATAGATTTTATCAAAATATTGTTTCACATTATAGTTGGCCTTGACAAACTCCACATTTGGTGTCATTTAACCGACCTCGTATCTCTCACCGTTAAAAAGATACCCATGGTGAGCATGGTAAGTGGGACACACTGTAGTGTATTTCATTTCAAAAACTCTTCAGTATGGAGTCAGTAACAAAGCCTACACAGAACACACATTAGCTGATGGACCTCTCGTAAGGTCTATGGCCAGTTGGTGTGTTCACAGTCACCAACAAATTATTAAGTATACAGGGTGTTTCACAGGTAAAGGGAAATATTTCAATGGTAGACAGGGGTCACCAATGTGGTTCTGAAAATACCATATTTGATAGGTCTCAGAGTTTTCATAACGGAGATACAGGGCGATTTATCGATTTCGAATAATTATTCATTCGTCTATAAGTATTGAACTACCCAGTATATTTTTCTAAAATTTGGTATGGAGCTTAAACTTGGGACGTTGAATTCATTCACCTATCGAGCGAAGAGAAAATCCAGGCTCGGCTTCAGGAAAAAATCACATTTATTCGAAATATTGAAATAACACACTGTATGTAATAATTGACAGAGTTCATCAAAGGAATCGTGAAGAGGAGGAAAAACTGAACTGGATTTGATGCTTTTTGTTTTCCCGCCACCAATTCTCATCGTAACAATCATAAACAGTAAGCTAAAAGTATGTCAATTTCAAGAGTATTAAAATTATGAAAACACTTTCAATTATGATTATTTGATATATTCTCGTTAAATGATCGTTCGAAATAACTTACTTAGTCTCACAGTCTTCATAACAGAGATACAGGGTGAATTATCACTCGTCCATAAGTATTAAACTACCCATGCATCGCAGTAATATTTTCTCAAATTTGGTATTGAGCTTACTTAGGACGATGGATTCATTGACCTATCAGGCAGAATGGAAATACAGGTTCAGCTTCAGGAAAAGTCTTATAGTCTTTATAACAGAGATTCAAGGTGAATTCGAATTATAACTCCGCCTGATAGGTTAATGAATCCATCGTCCCAAGTAAGCTACATACCATATTTGAGAAAATGTTACTGGGTAGTTTTATACTTATGGACGAGTGAATAATTATTCAAAACCGATAATTCACCCTGTATCTCCGTTATGAAAACTGTGAGACTTAGTGAGTTCTTTCGAGCGATTGTTTGACTTAAATATATCGAATAATCATAATTGACACTGGTTTCCTAATTTCAATACTCTTCAAATTGACATACTTTCAGCTTTCTGTTTATGATTGTTACGATGAGAATTGGTGGCGGGAAAACAAAAAGCATCAAATCCAGTTCAGTTTTTCCTCTTCTTTACGATTCCTTTGATGAACTCTGTCAATTATTACATACAGTGTGTTATTTTAATATTTCGAATAAATGTGATTTTTTCCTGAAGCCGAGCCTGGATTTTCTCTTCGCTCGATAGGTGAATGAATTCAACGTCCCAAGTTTAAGCTCCATACCAAATTTTAGAAAAATATACTGGGTAGTTCAATACTTATAGACGAATGAATAATTATTCGAAATCGATAAATCGCCCTGTATCTCCGTTATGAAAACTCTAAGACCTATCAAATATGGTATTTTCAGAACCACCTTGGTGACCCCTATCTACCATTGAAATATTTCCCTTTACCTGTGAAACACCCTGTATAAATCAATGAATAAATAAACCGACCCCCACCTCAATCGCGCTAATCGAATCGCTCCTCCCGTCCTCGCTCCCACTACCGTGTCGCTCATAGAACGATCCCCCGCAGTCCGTGTTCTCCAGCACATCCTCCACCTTCGAAATCACCTCCCGGATCTCGGATTTGATGTTCGTCGCCAGCTCTTTCGTCATCTCCGTCACGTAGCTCTGCAGGTCCGGAGACGGCGATGCCCTGTGCGATGGATCAAAATGATAATATTAGGATATATTCAGTAACTATTCACGATATAGGCACGTTGATGTGCATGCAAAATATCTTTCACGTGCATAACTGCTAGTTGCAATTTTCTCTTCCTAAATAAATTCTCAAGTGAACGCTTGCGAGCTATGTATACGCCGGCGACGCGGGTTCAATTCCTGCCAGGTTCAATTTTTTTTTTGAAGTTATATTTTGTTTTTTTTTCAAGCAGTTTTTCGAAGAAAAATGTCCATGCTTTCCAACACGTCCTCCACCTTGGAGATCACCTTCCTGATCTCGAACTTGATGTTCGTCGCCAACTCTTTTGTCATCTCCGTCACGTAGCTCTGAATATATTCAGTAACTATTCACTATATCAGTATATAGGCACGTTGATGTGCATGCAGAATATTTCTCACGTGCATGTGCATGACGTCACTCACAACACGCGAGTAAACTGCTAGTTGCAATTTTCTCTTCCTAAATAAATTCTCAAGTGAACGGTTGCGTGCTATGTATACGCCGGCGACGCGGGTTCAATTCTTGCCAGGTTCAAAATTTTTTAAAAATTTATATTTTGTTGTTTTGTCGAGCAATTTTTCGAAGAAAAACGTTCTAGACATAGTCCGTGCTCTCCAGCGCATCCTCCACCTTGGAGATCACCTCCCAGATCTCGAACTTGATGTTCGTCGTCGCCAGCTCTTTCGTCATATCCGTCACGTAGCGGAATGATGATCAGATCAGAATATACTCAGTAACTATGCCTTTATAGTGCACTTTGATGTGCATGCAAAATATCTCTCACGTGCATGTGCATGACGTCACTCACAACACGTGATAATTGCTAGTTGCAATTCTCTCTTCATAAATAAATTCCCAAGTGAACGTTGGCTAGCTATGAAAACGCCGGCGACGCGGGTTCAATCCCCGCCAGGTTCAATTTTTTTTTCAAATTCATACTTTGTTATAAACATGTATGCCATTTCGTTATTTCTCTAATTATCATGTGATTTTCCTACTGCTGGGCAGGTTCAGGCTGTGAGTGGGCGACATCTGGTTGGAGTCGCTCTTATTAACTCTTATTAACTAATTTTGTAATACACAGATCATACAAATGTGACACGTTTCAGCTATCCACGGGTCAAAATGACCCAAACTAGCCCACTGTCAGAGTCCTGCAGATATTTCGCTCTTATGTAAACGGATGTAATACATGTATAATCCAGGAAAATTACAGGAAAAACAACAAATTATTCGTTTTAATGGCAAAGATACACGGATTCCAACAGATCGCTGGGTAAGTACGACTCGTGGGTAGTACTTGAGGGCATATCCCTTAATTGTACAGGGACAGATCAACACACCTGCCGCACTGAACACAGTCGTAGCTGGTGAGAAGGTTCAGGCTGTGCGTGGGCGACATCTGGTTGGAGTCGCTCCTATTAACTCTCATAAAATATTTTTTTTATGCACAAATCATACAATTTGCGACGTCTCAGCTACCCACGTGTCGAAATGACCCAAACAAGCCCACTGTCAGAGTCCTGCCGATTTTTCCGCTCTTATGTCTGCAGCAAACTGAACTGAAGTATGTATAATCCAGGAAAATTTCAAGAAGAGCAACCAATTATTCACTTCAATGGCAAAGATACACGGTTTCCAACAGATCATTACGACCCGTGGGTAGTACTTGAGGACATCTTCTTGTACCAGGTGAACAACTAAGAACGGTTGTCGTCGTGATCTGGAGTATCAATAGATATCGTGAATTGAAAATCTAATGTATGCAGATTATACACGATCAAATAGAGTAACTGAATCTCAACAGACCAACGAAAACTACAACATGATAGCTCATCGCTAACGGAAGATATTGACGATCAAAGTTGAAAGGATTGTTGACAGCCGGTACAGGGACGGATCAACATACCTGCCGCACTGCAGACAGTCGTAGCTGTTGAGCAGGTTCAGGCTGTGCGTGGGCGACATCTGGTTGGAGTCGCTCTCGAGCGATGTGGGCTCGCAGCCGCTGCTGTAGCTCAGCTGCCGCTGGCGTGAGCCCATGCCCAGGCTCATGCGCGTGGAGGGGCTCAGGACGGGCGGCGAGACGTTGGGCGCGCCCAGGCTGAAGCAGCGCTCCCTGGCGAAGGTCTGCTGCATGTGGTGGTTGAGGTTGGCGGAGCTGACCGCCTCTCCCACGGCGAAGTTTACCTGCGGGGAAGCGGAAATACTAAGCATGGTGAAACTATTCGCGAGATTCACGAAGTGGGCGACATCTAGGTTACATAATACGAACTTCAAATTGGGGGAAAACAAACTGTTGTTTATGGATAAAATGAATAGACTACATTGCATTCAGCTTGCTCTAGCTGTAGTCAAACTTGTCAATGACATAAAGTGTTGGCACTGTCGGTAGTGATGATCATTGAGTTGGTTAATTTTTTTACATAATTACATTTTTATTAGTTCAGTGAACAGTGAAAGGGTGAAGAATTGGAGATATTTCAAACAATTCGAACTAATTATGACGAGCAAATCAATTGACATATAAAAGAACAGCTAAAACATGTTTACAATACCCAGACTGTCGTGCTTTGCATAAACAAATACAAATCCATTGTTCTACAGGAGTTCCTCTGGACCCCAACTTCAATTTTACTTCATGTGGGGAAGATTTCATCGCCGAAGTTTGTAGACAAAGTGCAAAAATATGCCTTTTGATGAAGTCTTCTGCCTCACACAAAATAACATGATTAGCAGGGAGAACTGCTTCTCCTTCCACTACTGGTCGGCTTTTTCCGTCTGAATAGAGCAAAATATCTGCCAAAAGAACATCTACAACAGGCGTTTTCGATCGAATATTGACAATTAATGTCAAGAAATTTGAAAACTTATCACTCTTATCAGTACACAGTTCACAAGCTAAAGGCACTAATGGGATTGAGTGAGGATTGAGTTTGTCTTCCCTCAGTTTTAACGTGACTTTGACATGAAACGATGAAAACCGAGCGCCATCTGGTAACATTGATTTCCGCGACTAGTAGGATGTGCTACGATACGCATCTTTGTTTACGTCACTGCGAGTAAAACAATTGGTAAGCTAGCGGTTGTCAATCCACCGTGATACTTCAAACTCGTTTGAAAACAGTTTGGTACGAAATCATATTATCGGCACATATTTTGCATATCGAAATTGCCGCTCGCATGAAGAAGAAATTGTATCATGTTCTGAACACAAGCCAAGTGACAATTCCATTAACCACATCGCTTAGAATGTATGAACTTTTTCATCAATGAAACCATTTCGGAATACTGCACCTACTATACAGTGTGGCCTACTTCTAATGGAAACACCCCTGTATCTTACGTATTCGTTGGGTAAGGATCCTGAAATTTCCTGGAGCGAGAGATATACCAAAAATAGACTCTATGACCAAGTGGGGTCATCTTCAGTGATATACACTGCTCACCAACACAAAGGATATTAAGAGTCAAAATTGGTTGCGAATCACTTCGGATTCGAAATCAGGACGCCCAATTCACAACTATTCATAGTTTTCCTAGAAAATTTTCAGTTCAGAAAAATTTAATTTTGGCGTATTTTGATAAGTACAGTTTGCCTGGGTTAGAAGTCAGGGGTTGTTTTTTTAGGATTCAGATTCGGTAAAATAGGAAAAAATTTGGACGACCTCTGCTATGACTTTTCACTTTTGAGTTATTTTCAATTATATTTTTTTCTGGCGTTGATATTGGAGCTGTGACAAAACTGAAAAAACATTTTCATGACACCTTTTGACATCGATTTTCTGATTCAACGATTCGTCTGTGAGCAAGCATCATCAACTTCATTTTTTAAAATACGGCCCTGATATCTGGATATCAAATTCGAATAGCTCTTTCCATTTTGATTTCGGCGATATGCTACAGCTCATGGTTTAGATGCCTTTCGAGCTTATTTTGGCTATTATCAAGTAATTTCTGGAATATGGACCTGAATGGCAATATTTCTGTACATATTCTGAGTATTCATTAGTTTCGCATCAAATAATAATTCTAACTCTCGAAGAAGCTTTGATCTTTGCATCTATTTATTTCTTACTGTCATTCGTTACAATGTATTTATTTTTTTCATAGGATTATATGAAAATTCGGTTTCGTATTTCAAAAATACTCCAATGAGATGGCCAAAATAGTCTCGAAACGCATCATAACCACAATGTGTATATAGCAAACAGGATTGAATGGGCTCTTCGCTGATATCGAGATATCAGGTTGAGTAACATCAAAAGTTGTCATGAACATATTCCTTCAGTTTTGTCATAATTTCAATATCAACACCAGAAAAGATTAAATCAAAAATCTAAAAATTGATTCTTCTGAAAATAACTCGAAAGAGAAACATATCATCATTTTCTTGGCCCTTCTTGTAGTTTCCCATACTGGCCTCCACATCTTGGGTAAAGTGTATAATATTTTCTACACTACTCTAGTACTGAAGACTAGTCAGCAAGTCTAGATATTCAGCCGCCATTGACTGGAGTATCAACACTGAGATGTTTAGAATTATAAACGTACATCTCAATCAACACATTCATTTCATCAATCAAATGACACCAAGAGTTTGCTATCAAAATGAAGTGTCATTTCTATAATGGCTATATGAATTTTTCAAAGTGTTAAGCCCTATCTGGCAACAGCACATTGTTCTTCATGTGATGAATTTTGATTTCGAGCATGTTCTCTCTTCCAACTACTATCTTCTTCTGGCTTTCTTCTTCAGAGGCTTTCCTAACGTTAGTCAGAAACTAATCATAGCTATAACCACTCCATACGTCATTTTTCACCGCCCCAAGAAGCTTTATTGATGCATTTTGAAATTATTGTTAATGATTTAGAGTGAAAATATACAGTGTCATTCATAAAGTCGGCATCATATGGGAAAAACTTTTATTAATGACTTATTTTGGAATTCGAGTTAGACGTCAAGTTTTGCTTCAAAAAAGTAGAAAAACGGCCTACTCAATCGGGGTCACGTGACTTTCGCTACATGTCAAAAGTGACATTTTTTCAAATTAATCGCTGAAAGTAGGCTTATTTGTTCGAATATCGAAAAAGTTTACTTGAAAAAGTTGTTTCTCTTTCAATTTTACACATGCTTCTCGAATTTGATCTTTCTATTCCAACTTTCAGATTTTGATTTTTTTTAAATGTTTAGAAATTTCTGTAATATTTGAAGAATTGTTAATTCCACGAAACTATTTCAGACCAGTAGCTTTTTCATGCTAGTTACTTTCAATGACTTATTATCACTGATTATGGACAGAAATATGATTTTCTTCAGAAAATGATGATCATCGCTTCCAAATTCTGTTATGTTTGATGCAAAGTTGATATATCGTCAAGCATTTAGAAACGAAATTCATTTTAACTGATCTTTTCAGTACTGGAAAAATAAATTTGAATGAATTTCGTCTCTTAATGCTTGACTCAAAAAAAAAAACAGAATTTTGATGTTATGTTTGCATCAAACATAACAGGATTTTTTGTCGATAATTACTGATAATTAGTAATTGAAAGTAAGTAGTATGATGAAGCTACTGGTATCAAGTAGTTTTATCGAATTTACAATTTTTTTAATATTACAGAGATTTCGAAAATTTTTAAAAAATATCGAAATCTAAAAAATTTAATTGAAAGATAAAATCCGAGTCACATACGTAAAATTTAAATAGAAACAACTTTTTCAAGGGAACTTCTTCGATATTCGAACATATAAGCCTACTTTCATCAGCGATTAATTTGAAAAAATGTCACTTTTGACATGTAGCGAAAGTCACGTGACTCCGATTGAGTAGGCCATGTTTCATCTTGTTTGAAGCAATACTTAACGTCCAACTCGAATTTCAAAATAAGTCATTAATATAAGTTTTTCCCATATTATGCCAACTTTATGAATGACACTGTATATATGACAAAGTAAACTACTCAACACTAATTTCGTCGCACAACAAAATGTCGCCCTTGTTATAATGTGAATAACTTTTTTCAGTTTAGAACAATTTGAATTTGGTTCACACTGTTTGATAGCCCAGTCCTCCAGCTATAATCTCGTACTTCATTGAAACATGAGGGTATTCACATAAAATCTCTACATAGTGTTTTCCGACACTGTGCAAAATTTCGGAATATTCAAAAGGCTCTCAAATGGTGAAAAAAATGTTTTTCTCAACTTTGACAACAGAGGCATGAAGATGATCTCATTACCTCGAGATATTTCGCGAATCAACTTCCTATCTCTCTTATTTACAGAGTGATCTCAAAAAATCAACTTTTTGGTTTTGCAGCCATAACTTTTTTCCACGTCAACCGATTTTGGAAATCTTAGGCTCATTTTGAATATAAAACTTCAGATGGAGAGATCTGAATATCAGAATTGACTTGAGATGGCTATCAAAGATCTAGAGTTTACTTGAAAGTGACCCAAATCTGGAACGCCCTCCGAATCTCGGTTGGGAGGAGAATTGAATGAAAATCAACTTGTTCTCGTAAAAACAATTAATTCTGGATGCGTCCATATTTTCCTTGCTCTCAGTACTCAAGAATGTGCGCGTGAGAAAACACAATTGAAACATGTTCTTGCAAAAACATCAGACCATTCCTCCTCTGTAATGCATGGCCCGTAACCAATGTTACAAGAATCACAGTAAGTGACTGACAAGTCAGGTTAGACGTCGTTTTCGAATCATAAACAGATTTTGATAGTTTCGATGCCGCATCTAACGCCCGACCAGTTGGAACTGATTCCACAAATGAGGGAACAAGGGTTATCTTCCCTCCAAATCGCGGATCTGCTAAACACGACAGTCCGATCCATTCAAAGTGCTTATCTCCGACACGAATTGTTTGGTTAGTACTGTCGATTCGTTCGGCGCATTATTGCGACTGAAAACTTTACGTAATTGGCAAACTGTTTCCGTGAAACTTTCACCATTTTTGAAATGCGTTTTTACAATAAATAAACGTTGTTTGCTTGAATACTTCTCCATATTCTTGAATCGCATGTTATGTACATGACAACTGTTAAAAAAATCACTTTATTGAAAAAATCAAAATCCGTTGCTCTTGTTGGTACACCATTTATGATGAGCCTCAGCTGATCGGGTTTGTCAGTCACTCATTGTGATTCTTGTAACGTTGGTTACGGCGGGCCATGCATTACAAAGGAGAAATGATCTAATGTTTTTGCAAGAACATGTTTCAATTGTGTTTTCTCACGCACAATTCTTGACTACTGAGAGCGAGGAAAATATGGACGCATCCAGAATGAATTGTTTTTCCGAGAACAAGTTGATTTTCATTCAATTCTCCTCCCAACCAAGATTTGAAGGGCGTTCCAGATTTGGGTCACTTTCAAGAAAACTCTAGATCTTTGATAGCCATCTTGAGTCCATTCTGATATTCAGATCTCTTCATCTGAAGTTTTATCTTCAAAATGAGCCTAAGATTTCCAAAATCGGTTGACGTGGAAAAAAGTTATGGCTGCAAAACCAAAAAGTTGGTTTTTTGAGATCACTCTTTAAATAAGAGAGATAGGAAGTTGATTCGCGAAATATCTCGAGGTAATGAGATCATCTTCATACCTCTGTTGTCGAAGTTGAGAAAAAAAAATGTTTTCACCATTTGAGAGCCTTTTGAATATTCCGAAATTTCGCACAGTGTCGGAAAACACCATGTAGAGACTTTATGAGAATACCCTTATGTTTCAATGAAGTACGAGATTATAGCTGGAGGACTGGGCTATCGAACAGTGTGAACCAAATTCAAATTGTTCTAATCTGAAAAAAGTTATTCACATTATAACAGGGGCGACATTTTGGTGTGCGACGAAATTAGTGTTGAGTAGTTTAGTTTTGAACATATTCGATGAAAATTATAGTCCGACCGATACCCCGATATATTTCACCCCTCTTACCTGCGGCTGCGTGATCTGCGGGTAGTACAGCCCGTTGACGTCCTGAAGAAAGTAAGGCACCGGCGAAGAACAAGTCAATATGTGCGGGTCATCGATAGAAGGCAAGCTGTAGTGCCTGGGAGACCCGCAAGGGTTGGGAGGCGCCCCCCGATCGCTGTCCCTATGCGGTCGCCTCGAGCAAAAATTGTTCACCGGATCGAAAGGAACCTTCTGCTTCACATTCTGCGCGTTGCTAGTCAACAAGCTCTGCGCCTCGTGCTGCAGCATGAACCACCGCAACTTATCGCCTCTGGAATCAAAAACGATCCCTTGGTCTTGGTACGGGCTCCTGTTTGCTGTCTTCCTGGCCCTGTTGAACAAATTCCTGGCCGTCTGCAGGCACTCTGAGTGGCTCTGGGGAAAGAGCCCCGGGCCGGATATCCTCCGCTCGTTCATCGTCATCTTGCCTTCGACGTATCGGATGGAGGACAGCCATTTCCTGTCCTTGGAGAGGGCGTTGGTGTGGTGGCGCCACTCACCGGTCTCGAGGTCGACAACGTACTGGGGCAGGAGTTTCCAGCCCTCGGTGGCCACCATTTTGACGGCCTCCATGATGAAGGCGAGCTCGGCGTCGTTGATGAAGTAGGGGAGGCTTATTCGGGTGAAGCCCGGCCGCAGGAGTTCCAGGGTGGAGTTTTCTACCCCTAGGTTGAGGCTGCTTAGACGTCTGAAAGAAATATTTTAGTGCCCTATGAATGATAAAAGTATAGCACTTATAGTAAGATGGAAATTCAGCATCATAAAATCAGCTTTGGAATTATTTTCCCATATTTTTATGTGGGTATAGTAGAGTATAGATAATTTATTTATTTATTTACTGTAACAACTGTAAATTGACAAACAAAGAATAATATTTGTAAAAAAAATGGCATGTTCAATTTTATCCAGTTCGCTCAGAAATAATCAATTTTTTCACTTCATTTTCGAATGAACCTATGTTTCTGCAATTTTTTATATTGTCAGGTAGTTTATTGAATTCAGTTAAGACTGAATGAGTGAATCTTTTCAGAATTTCAGAATTCCGTATCAACATAAAATTCGACTTCAATTTTTTATTTATGATATTATATGATATTTTGAGAGTTTCAATTCTATATATTTCATCTAAAGAATACGTATTTGTTATTTCAAACAATTGATTGGTTGGTGTATCAAATGGGAGTCGATACAATACTTTTAACGATTTTCTATATAATGTTGATATTTTATTGAAATTGTTCTTTGAACAAGTTCCCCAAACATTTATTAGATAGTTGATACGACTCAGTATATGAGAGTAGAGAATCATGTTTGAAATTTTAATATCAAGTTTGGGACATCTTCTCAATGCACCAATAATTGGAGATATTTTTTTTGTCAGAACATCAATATGTTTGTCCCACTTCAACCTGTCATCAAACCAAATTCCAAGATATTTTATCTGGTCAGTTTGTTTTAAGAGTTCATTTTTCATTTTAAGGTTGAGGCATATACGTATTAATAATCAATACGGATAATCTCTATCTGTTTCCATAGCGAAACATGAAGCCGATTTTTGAAGACAAATGACTATCCGTAAGGAAAAGTTTTGAAACGATCAGACACATACTGCTTTGATTGAAAGGCTAGTAAACGTCATTGTCCACCGAAACGCATGTCTTTGATGACTACTATAATAGCGCATGGCGCATGCGTATCATGCCACCAAATCCTTATGGATATTCATTTGTTTCATATTTTTGGCTTCATCCTGGCAACCGTTATGATTCGTATTGTTTATTAATACGTATATGGGTTGAGGTAGATTTTTTGTTTATTTTTTTGGTGAAAAATCATTCTGTTTTTTTAGTATTTATCGATAAAAGGTTAGAGTGGAGCCATTTTTCAAATATTTTCAAGTCTTCATTCATAATATTTTCTAAATTTGAAGGATTCTTGCTTTCATATGAAAGTACTGTATCATCTGCATACATGGTATATTTACTCGTGAGACCAATTTCACTGATATTTTGAACATAAAGTAAATATAGTATAGGTCCTAAAACAGATCCCTGTGGGACACCCTTGTTGATTAATAGTTTATAGATAAGTAGGTAATTTCGTATCGATATATTTCTCAATAATTTAGAGACGATTCTGCCTTCCCCACCTTTTTTCTATAAGTCCTGCCCATCCAAAATGGGTGTGACGTATGAATAATGAATCCGCATTATAGTGACGAATAAGAAGTAGGCAAGGGGCCAGTTTTGCCATCCCAACTACTTCCTCACAAGGGTGGCCATGCAAATTGGGCGTGAAATATGAGAGTTATTTCAAGGTTCTCAAAAATCTACCCATGAAAGAAAAGTAAGAGGGATAAGTTCGCTCTTCAGATCTGCGTATAGCGAAGAGGCGTGGTATATAAATAATCTCCGCCTACAAGAAACAGGGCGTGGCTTACAGCAATTTTTAAGAGCGCTGAAATTGAAAAGATACCAGATACCTCAGATATATGAGATGTGAGTAACAATCGCTATACATTCTCACCACAAAGGAGTTGAATAGCATAGGAATAAACTACACAGATCTGGGTGCTGGAGTGTGTGTTGAAATTCAATTTAGTATTTCTAAAATTCTTGAGGCTGCAAAAGTGAAATCCCTCGTCATATGAACTCATCACAAAAAAGGCGTGGCATGTGAATATGGACATTCCTAGAATTCTCAAAGCGTAGCTTAGATGAATTGTGGATAACTCTTGTGATACATTACAAGATAAGATTTTTCGGTATTTGCTTATCACAAAGGAGGCGTGACGTATCAATATGCTCCACCAATCCCAAATATAAGCGTGGCTTACAGAAAGTATAAAGGCAGGAACTGGGGTGCTATTTTCAATTTCATAAGAGTGAATTTCGTATACGAATATGTAATATTTTTGAGTGAAATGTCAATATTTTTATTTTGAAATAGATGGACATTTCTCGTAGGTTCTTTCGCCTACGAAATATCTTGTAATACGTGGAAGATGAGACTTCTTGGTATGTGTGCTTATCATAAAGGAGGCGTAGCGTATAAATAAGCTCCACCCATCCCAATTGTGGTCGTGGTCTTCAGAAATAGTGATAACGGAAGGAACTAGGCCACTTTTCAAACTCATGCAAGTGAATTTCATACATGAATTTGTAATAAATTCGAGTGAAATGTCAATATTTGTATTTTGAAATAGATGGACTCCTTTCGTATGTAGTTTTCATCGATTGAAATGCATCGTATGGTCGAATCGATGTGGACAAAACTGGCCTGAAACTTGTATTTAATCAGCACAAAAAAAGGGTGGTGTATCAATAAGCTCCTCCCATCTTAAATGGGATGTGCCCTATAGTGATAACGACAGAAACTGGGGTGCAATTTCCAAATTCATGCAAGTGAATTTGGCATCCGAATATATCATATTTTCGAGTATAATGTCAAATATTTGTATTTTGAAAATAGATGGACTCTTATCGTATGTGGTTTTTCTCGATTGAAATACATCGCAAGGTCGAATAGATGCTGAATTAAATGTTCGCCTCCGAAATATGTTTTTTTTTTTGGCATTCGGACATGATCCATACAGCCAGTCACAGTTTTGTTATTTCATATTGATCCTAAAGCCTACCAGCAAAATTGGAACTTTAATAGAAGAAAACACCAGGAACCAGGAAGAACAAAGGATCACAAGGTTTCTTCTCGCCAAGGGGTCTATCATGGCATTTCATTTATGAGACACACAACACTAGACCGCTGAAAGAGGGTATATAACACATAAGGTAGAACACAGAGGAACGAAGCTAAACTACTTCCATTCAAATCTTCAATCCCGTTTTCTGTATGAATTTTATGATACTTTGAGTTATTTTCTTATCATTAAGGGCTAAGAGGTTAAGCAAATTGATGGGAGTGGGAGTTTTCATATTCAAAAGATCAGAATAGAGCTCTTGGCTTTCTTGTCTTGTGATTCTGCAGCTGAAAAATATGTGATCAAGATCACCCTTCACATTGCAAAGCTCGCATAAGTCCGAGTTGGTTATCCCTATTCTGGCTAGAAAGGCAGGGTAGCATCCATGCCCAAATTTGAGTCTATTGTAGACAGTTATACATCTTCTGGAGAGATTGAAGTCAGAATGCCAGAACTTCGGGGGAATGTCTGGGTGAATTTTAGTATATCTTGTCGGATTATTCATACAGTACTGGCGCCATCTATCTGACATCTTCTCTGCGTTTATTCTTTTGAATTTCCAAATGAGATCGTCGAGGCCGATTTGGTTTGTTGCTGATGTGGACAAGTTTATGGCATCTTTTGCTAGAATATCGACTTTTTCGTTGAATTCTATTCCTATATGTGCTTTCACCCAAATGAAGGTGATATTCCTTCCAGACATCTTCAGGTCGTGCAAGACTGTTTTGGTTTTGATCAAAAATGGGTTGAGGGGGGTTGTGGGCTTATATATATTTCGTATCGATGTGAGTACTGCAAGTGAATCAGACATAATCAAGACGTTATTTTCATTCATAGGGATATGGGTAAGGGCCATAAGGATTCCATATGCTTCGGCAGAATAAATCGAGAAATCATTAGGTAATTTATATTGGCCTTGAGTATTACTGTTAGGAATGAAATAGGCACATCCCACACCTTCTTCCATTTTAGATGCATCAGTGTAAATTGAGATACTCTCTCGATAATCATCCTGTAGTGTTTTAAGAATAATTTTGTTGATGTTCGCATTTTCAGAGTACTTCGAAATATGTTGTAGTGTGGTATTTGCTCCTCGAAAAGGAGGCATGGCTTGCGAATAAGCCCCACCCATTCTAGAAGGAGGCGTGTCGTATGCATGAGCCGCACCCATTCCAGCGTTGCCGTCAGAAACAGTGATAAAAGCAGGAATAGGGCATCTGGGGGGTACCATTTTCAAATTCATACAAGTGAATTCGGCATCCGAATATATCATATTGTTGAGTATAATGTATTTTGAAAATAGATTAACTCTTTTCGTATGTGGTTTTTCTCGATTGAAATCCATCGCGAGGTCGAATAGGTTCATTATGAATGAAATGTTCGCCTATGAAACATGTTTTGGTGAGACTCCTTTGTATTTGCTCATCAGAAAAGAGGCGTGGCGTGCGAGTAAGCCCCACCCAGTTCCAAAAGGAGGCGTGTCGTATGCATGAGTCCCGCCCATGCCAAATGGGGGCGTGGCTTAAAGAAACGGTGATAACGGCAGGAACTGTCGGATTTTCAGGATTTTGTGACTCACCTGTCCTCCAAGATGATATTTTCGTACTGATCGGCGAGACTTTGATCGATCCCGAGCAGATCCTGGGCGTAGGCGCCCGAGCACGGACACCCGGCCCTGGCTTGTATTCCGAAAACGTCGTTCAGAACGGCGCAGACGAAGTTGTGGTGGAGGAAAGTGCCCCGTGGATGTCGCACCATGAACGAGAATATGGAGATGCGTTTGAGGTTAGGAGAGTTGTTGCCGAGAAGTATTAGTTCTGGGATAGTCCTAATGTGTTGTAACATTTGTCTGAAAAAAAAGGGAGTAAAATTATCGTTTGTAATACAACATGTGGATATATTGATGATTATCAAAGAATTTAGGGCGTCACCACTGACAGCAGCTCATTTCAAAATCAACTTTTGAATGATCCAAGGATCGTCAGATTTGAAATGATGTTATGGATAGGTTAGCAATTCACTCATGAGGTAGATTTTGAGTGTTCGAAATGCCGATACTACAAAATTCTATACAGGATGTCCCGTTACTCGATGCCCATAGCTTATGAGCATATTCCTCGAACAATTTTAAGCCAAAAGTACCTTGTACACTATTGTCTAAAACTAAATAGTTGAGGGGTTATGAGCAATTAAATAATCCATGAATACAAGACTATCCAGATACCTACTCTTCAGAGAACGTCTTCAATAATTAGAAGAGCAATTGAATTGTGATGTGGGGAGATATTTTGAAGGAAAACGTCAATTGAATTTGGGTAAGTTATGAAAACATTCCCAATTGTTTGAATATTATATTACTTTATATATTCCTCGACTATACTTAAAGTTCTTGACAAAAGTTTATAAGGCACTTTCGACTTGAAATTATTCAAGGAATATGCCCTTGAGCTACGGGCATAGAGTCACGGGACAACCTGTATAATATTCTGCGGTACAAATTAAAAGTGAGTGCCTATCACTATTTTGTGTTGTTCCTGAATTTGGAAATATTATGACATCCATGACAGCATGATGCTGGTAGGTAATCTCTTGTTTTATATTTGATCAAACTACCAAGCCAATGAGGAAGCAAAATACAAAATCGAAAATACAGTATATTATTATAAGTATCCAGTATAACCAATCGACTGCCGAGATACAAAATCGAAAACATAATGTTTCCGATTATCAACACAGGTATTTCAACCAGTCAGAAACGTATATTTCGAAATGAGTGGAATAATCGAAATAATTTTTCCTATATTTCGAAATGAGTGGAATAATCGAAATAATTTTTTTGTACCAGAATATTTCCTGAATGAATTTTGATAGAATCCTAGTATTTTCATCAGCAACACTTTTTCATGGAAAATTCATGTCAGATCTTCAGAAATCTCTGCTATCATTCCATCATTAGACTAACAATACCAGTCAGACGAACTCGACAAGCCCAGTCAGCACATCCCTTCGTCCTCAACCTCGAAATATGTGGAATAAATCTTTATCAGAACGTGTTTGCCTATTAGTCCAATAAATAAAGGGAAAAAGTTAACATTAATTACGCACTATTTTCATCTTCCGGTTGGAAGTAGCATTTGGTACCTCATTAAACATGAGACAAAGTTTGACTGGAAAACGCGTGCGATGGCGGAGAAAATGGCCCCAAAAGACCAGAAAAATAGGTTTTCAGCCAATATCTCCTAAAATATGGCAGTTAGAGATTTTCGGTTCAGATAAAAATTGAAGTTCAGTTAATTTTCTACAAAACTTGCATATTTCACACGTCTCAAAATTTCCAGTTTTTCAACCCGATTTTTTTGCAGAAAATAATGATGTTGCGAAAAAAATTATGAGGACCATTTTTGTAGAAAATTAACTGAACTTCAATTTTTATCTGAACCGAAAATCTCTAACTGCCATATTTTAGGAGATATTGGCTGAAAACCTATTTTCCTGGTCTTTTGGGGCCATTTTCTCCGCCATCGCACGCGTTTTCCAGCCAAACTTTGTCTCATGTTTAATGAGGTACCAAAAGCTACTTCCAACCGGAAGATGAAAATAGTGCGTAATTAACGTTAACTTTGCCTTCTTTTCCTCCTTCATTTATTGGACTATATAGAACGGCAAACCTTCGGAATTCTTTGCCCAAGAAAAATTCTTCTGCAGTACCCTCGGCAGTACCTTGTAAGAGATGATGTGATTTTTGTGGAATGTACCACCCCTTATGATTCTTTTGATTTTGATAGAAGGAAAGAATTTTTTTTCTATCAGATACATTTCCACTATCTGAAATAATATACAGCAAGCAGCAAATAGTGTATGCATTTTTAATTGAACGCCCTATATTTCCTCACGATTGGATTGACCTTCTGAAGAGCTTTCCGAAAATTCCCCAGTAGTAAATATATCTATCTTCTGTATTTCTCAAAATATAGGCTTCCAAAAGTAACAAAGTTTGATTGATTTGTAATGATTTCCGAAAGTGATAAGGATGATAACAATATTGATCTTCATGAGAATTAAATGTCATTCTATCGACGAAAACACATTTTCGAGTATTGCCAGTTTTCCACAAAAGATTCTGTTATTTTTCATTTTCATAAGAGAACAGAGACTGTGTGGGTGGAAGAATGAATTCAGCATTGAAAATACAGGAAGTGATACAATGCATTATAGTCATGAAAAAGAACAAGCAAACGGCGACTGCATTTCTTTTTCAGCGTCATTTATGTCAATGTTAAAGCGATATTTCTGTCCTGGCCTGACTTCACAGGTTGTGGGAAGAAAGCGAATTGATAAATATCACGATAAATTTTAATGTCTTTATAGCGACATAATCGTGTCATGGACCTATGCACTTCAATTCTTGAATAATTGCACATGTGCCGAACATATCCTTGCCATACCTTGATGGGCATTAAAAAAACTATCAATTCGGAATTCGAAATTCATGGAGTGTTATTAACGATAATAAAATATAATCGGATACATATGTGTTGTATTCGCAATGATATTTTACTCGAAAAATTCCATTCGAATTGCCCGAGCTATTTATAGGCATGTCTCCGACCAGTTTTGCACCACTTTGGTTTGACCGATTTGTTTTCCATATCCATTGTCTAAACCAAATAACAAAAATAGAAGATTCATCTTGCGGTGGATTCGAAGGATGCGAGAAGTTGCACTCATCGTGGCCTGTGTCGTGGCCAAGACGTTTCATGATAATAATTAGGTAGGTACGATAAAACAAAATGTTCATAGCATTAATGGTAATAGAATATAAATAGTAATAACAGTAATAATAATATGATGTATTGTTTATACCTCACTTCAGAGAATGTGGGACACAGAGATACAGAGAGACCGAAAAAAATTAGGCAGTAGGTACTTATATACAGGGTGAGTCATGACTAACCAGCCATAGAATTGATACATATGTGAAAAAATAAACAGTGTGTCCCGCTTTTCATGAATACACGCTGATATCGCAGTTATTAATAGTGCGAATTCAAATTTTTTAAGTGATTGTATGTTAGAATAAGGAAGTATATTTGGTATAATGATATTAGGACTTATTTTAAATTCATTTAAATCCATTTCTTACGTATCGGTGTATCTTAAGAGTTATTGTGGGGCGAGGATCTACTCGGAAAAAAATCCAGGACCGGACTTGCTTTTCAGGAAGATACCTTTTAAATATGAACATAAATAATTTCTAATTGAAATCTGCTTCTATATGTGAAAATTTGGCAACATTGTGCTCAATATAGGCTATGGCTATGGCTGGTCAGTCACGACTCACCCTGTATAGGTAGAAAGTCCGAAAATTTCGCGAGATTTGCGAAAATCAGAATTTCTCATGTTTCCCTTCTATGTATGTACAGTGTCATTCATAAAGTCGGCATCATATGGGAAAAACTTTTATTAATGTCTTATTTTGGAATTCGAGTTGGACGTTGAGTTTTGCTTCAAAAAAGATAAAAAATGGCCTACTCAATCGGGGTCACGTGACTTTCGTAACATGTCAAAAGTGACATTTTTTCAAATTGATCACTGAAAGTAGGCTTATTTGTTCGAATATCGAAAAAGTTTACTTGAAAAAGTTGTTTCTATTTCAATTTTACACATGTTTCTCGAATTTGATCCTTCTATTGCAACTTTACGATTTTCATTTTTTTTTAATTTTTCAAAATTTCTGTAATATTTAAAGAATTGTTAATTCCACGAAACTACTTCATACCAGTAGCTTTTTCCTGATTCTTACTTTCAATTACTTATTATCACTGATTATGGACAGAAATATGATTTTCTTCAGAAAATGATAATACCCGCTTCCAAATTCTGTTATGTTTGATGCAAAGTTGATATATCGTCAAGCATTTAGAAACGAAATTCATTTAAACTGATCTTTTCAGAACTGAAAAAAAAAATTCAAATGAATTTTGTTTCTAAATGCTTGACTCAAACATAACATCATTTTGATGTTATGTTTGCATCAAACATAACAGAATTTTGATGCGGAGATTATCATTTTCTGCAGAAAATCATATTTTTGTCGATAATTAGTGATAATTAGTGATTGAAAGTTAGTAGCATAATGGAGCTACTGGTATGAAGTAGTTTTATCGAATTTACAATTTTTCTAATATTATTACAGAAATTTCGAAAATTTTCAAAAAATATCGAAATCTAAAAAATGTAATAGAAAGATAAAATCCGAGTCACATATGTAAAATTGAAATAGAAACAACTTTTACAAGTAAACTTTTTCGATATTCGAACAAATAAGCCTACTTTCAGCGATTAATTTGAAAAAATGTAACTTTTTACATGTAGCGAAAGTCACGTGACCCCGATTGAGTAGGCCATTTTCCAAGTTTTTTGAAGCAAAACTTGACGTCCAACTCGAATTTCAAAATAAATCATTAATAAAAGTGTTTCCCATATGATGCTGACTTTATGAATGACACTGTATATGGTGTTGTTTTAGTGACAAATATACATACCTATTACGTCCTCTTATTTGAAAACTCATTGTCTTCCAAAACCAAAATTATGTACCTAAGCTCAAGAGAGAGATAGAGAGCGATTCCAATAAACCTATTGGATTTTCATGATGATTTTAGCAACTTTTTTGACATTGTCTCAAAGTGATACCTTGAAAAATGAAAAGGAAAATCTTTTGTCATTATTGGAACAAGGTGACTTGATGATGGAGGCCTTGAGACGTAACGTCGGATTTCAAAGTTCGATAGGACCGTTTTTGTAAAAGTTGTCAATGAGAATGATTTTTCGAAAATTGGTTTATTTTTCTCGAAATCAGACGAACAATTTTTTCGAAAGGAATTTAACGATCTTCTCGAACTCCAATTCATTTGCTCCCAAGAACAAACTTCCTATATATTTCACGATTCCAGATTCCTATGGAGATTTTGTAACACCCTGTATACTTATTAGTCGATTTGTGTGGCTGGACGATGTTTCCAAATAAGAGTTCATCAAAAACAAAACGATATTTCTGTTTGTTTTCAATATGTATGACGTCATTAACGATTTCTTTCAATGGACGAATGGGTCTAAACATTGTTTCAATCGCTGCTACCTACTCACTTGTTGATTTTTTCCTGCCTTTGTATTATGTTGTTGACGGCAACTGTTTCTTTCAGCTGCATCACAAGGCCAGCTCTGATGGATTCCACCACAGCTGCACAGCTCCCCTCTTCTTGCATATCAAAGCTCTATAACAGAAAAAATCAGGGATCAGGGTTGGAACCATTTTGATTCGAAATCGGTTTTTTAATTTTTGAATATTGATTTAATAGATATATTAATTCGTGCAACCTCATCAAATAATGAAGGATGAAATATAGCTAAAAATCATCTCGATGAAAATTGAATACATTCTTATTTGTAATTCAGATCTTCGGACCCCAATTTAGAAAAATTTTCGAGTATAGTACCTATATTGTGTATGTATACATGCTTATTCATGGTGAATAGTAAATTAGACGTTTCCGGAGAACGCAACGTAGAATTGTTTTGAAAATTTGGTTCTTGGGATGATTAGTTTTGCTCTATCGACCTGAAATATTCTCAGCGCTGCGACATTGCCGCTTATATTAAAAAGTAGCAACAACTTTGATTTTTCAAAGGGACACCCTGCATATCATTCCGTTTTCAGATTCTCCCTGGATAGCTGATCATCGATCTATCACATTTGGTAACTGTATTTATTACTGCTAGAACCAGAGTGTTATAGGTCAATAGAATCAGCTGTTCAGGAAAAATTTGAAAATGGAATAATATACAGGGTGTCCCTTTTAAAAAATCAAAGTTGTTGCTACTTTTCAAAATGAGCGGCAACGTCGCAACACTGAGGATATTTTAGGTCGATAGAACACAACTAATTATTCGAGGTACCAACTTTGCAGAATAATCCTGAGTTGCGTTCTCCAGAAACGTCTAATCTAATGTGCCATCCACCGTGAATCAGCCTGTATACTTATTATACTTTAATTTCTCAAATATATCGTTTTTCACTAATGTTTAATATTCAGGGCTGATTATCAATCAACGATAAAGAAATTGAATAACTTGTTGTCATTGACATTGTATAGATAGAATTCTGAATGATTATATATATTCATTTCTATTGATCATAATCATAACTAATATAATCAAGAAAAATGTTCTTGAAACCAGATTGCTTTATGATTGAGAATAAGTAATAGTCATTGAATATACAAATAAACAATAGACACCTATATATATATTCGATTTTATTGATAGGCTGATTTGGTATTCCAATTTTATGGTGTGCCTGATCAAGATGATGATTACCTTTTCATTTTCACTGGAAGCAAAAAATCCATCTGGTCCTGAATTATTTACCCGTCTGAATATGGATTTCTTAGCAATCAATATACCTGAAACAAAATAATAATTTCAATCAAAAACATTAAACTGAACAATGAACATTATATTAGACGTTTGACATTTTACTATTTTTAACGACAATGCGAGGTTTCTTGGATTTAGTTCACATTTTGATACAATTCATATGAGAATATCGCAAAAAATTGCAACAATCATTCCCTAACGCTGCCCCTGTACAAAGTTGGATTTTTTCAATTATTATTCTGAAATTGAATTTCTCAAAGCGAGCGCTATGAGAGTTTTCGATGTTATAATTATTCGGCATCGAAGTATTAATTCTTGTTCTGTTTTTGTCAAACAGAGGAAAAACAATGTCTCGAGAACTATTATTCCAATAAATTCAAATTTTCCAGATGGTATTTTTTCGATAGTCTATTTCCTCATGACAGACTTGATAGAGAAAACCGCATATATATCGACATTTCAGAATTACAAGGTGTATTTTTGGAAAGTTGCTGAAACTAATTTTTTCAACAAAAGTTCTTTACTTTGAATCAACATTTTTAAATCATGGTATCTGTCATGATAATTTATGTTTAGGCCCTGACATTAGTCATAGTAAATCTAGTTTGAGAATAGAACTTTTTCTTAAAATACAAGATTAAGATATAATGAGAAAGACTGACTTCAGTGCCTGTGGATCAATTACCAACACAAACTCATTGTTTCGGAAATGTTTTCATGAGGACAGAGAACTTTTGTTACGAAAATTATTTATAACCCCTTTACAAATATCAAATTTTCGAAAAGCACCTTATAACTCTGAAACAGATATATATCGATATGCGTTTTTCAATGAGAATTGACCCTTCGGCACCTACATCAGTTTTCTTCTATTCATTTCGAGGACTTTCCTTTGCAAATGTCCAATATGGCCCACCCTGTACCAAAAAAAAATCTCGCCCACATACCTGGCGTCTGCACTCCGCCGATAAATTTGTGCCCCGAAAAATAAACGGCGTCTTTGAAGGCCGCCCCCTCCTCCACGCCCGCCACTGTGGGATTGACATCGATGGGCACGCTGGGCGCGCCCGCATTGTAGTCCCAGAAGGCCAACGCTCCGTACCGGCGCAGGAGCACCGTGCAAGCAACGTCGTCAATCAAGATGCCCGTCACACCGGAAGCTATTGAAAAACAGCCAATGAGCTGTCTGCCGCAGTTCTGGTGGAACCTCAGCTGGTTCTCCAGGTCAACAAGGTCCAGCAAGCCTTCTTTGGTCTCTCCTATGCGCATCATCTGGAAAGCAGAAGTAGGTGATATAATGTAGATCAAACCTGAGCGAACTTGCAGTCTCATTCAGGTCATCGAGGTCCAACATGTCTTCTCTAGTATCTTTTATGCGCAATGTCTGAAGAACAGGAGGAGACAGAGTTCAAAAATGGAGTCGAATCATACCTGAAAAGGGAATAACGTCTTATTACTGTGAGAACGTGGATCAAAACAGAGCGAGTCTGCAGAAAGAAAGAAAGAAAGCAGTATCATCCAGGTCCACCAGGTCAAATGGGCCTTCTTTGGTTTCTTTTGAATCATCACAAAGAGAGGAGACGAACAGCTTCAAAGATAGTATCGAATCGTATCCGGAGAGGAAATAATTCCTGGTTAATGTGAGGTAGGTGATAGAACGGGAATCAAACCAGAGCGAGTCTTTCTGCCGTAGTTCTGGTGGAACTTCAGCTGATTCTCCAGGTCAACAAGGTCAAGCAAGCCTTCTCTCATCATCCAGGTCTACCACGCCAAATGAGCCTCCTTTGGTTCCTTCTGAATCATCAAAAAGAGGAGAAACAGCTTCAAAAAGAGTATCGAATCGTATCTGGAGAGGAAATAATGCCTGGTTAATGTGAGATAGGTGATAGAACGTAAACTAGCGAGTCTGCATTAGGAGAATACCGAGTGTGCAGAAGCGACTTTCGTATATCACCTAGGTGAAATAAAGCAGTATCATTCAGGTCATCGAGGTCCATCATGCCTTCTCTAGTCTCTCCTAGGCGCATTGTCGGAAAAGCAGGAGGAGACACAGTTGAAAAGTGGGATCGAATCATACCTGAGAAGGGAATAACGCCTCATTACTCTGAGAACGTTGATCAAAACAGAGCGAGTCTGCAGAAACAGATTCCATGAGTCATTTAGGTAAAAGAAAGCATTATCATCTAGGTCTACCAGGTCAAATGAGCCTCCTTTGGTTTCTTTTAAATCATCTCAAAAAGAAGAGAAACAGCCAGTATCTGGAGAGGAAATGATGCTTGGTGAGGTAGGAGATAGAACGTGAATCAAACCAGAACCAGTCTGCATTAGGATGCTATCAAAAAGCACCCTATGAGTTGTCTGCCGTAGTTTTGGTGGAACCTCAGCTGATTCTCCAGGACAACGAGGTCTAGCAAGCCTTCTTTGGTCTCTCCTATGCGCATCATCTGGATATCAAAGGTAATAATACGTGAGAAAAATTATAGAATGCGAGTGTGCAGAAGCGACTTCCATATATCACCTAGGTGAAATAAAGCAGTATCATTTAGGTCATCAAGGTCCTATATGCCTTCTGTAGTCTCACCAAGGCCCCTCACCAAGGCCCATTGTCTGAAAACCACAAGGAGACACAGCTGAAAAGCGGGATCAAAACAGAACGAGTCTTCAGAAACAAATTCCATGGACAAGTCACCTAGGAAAAATGAAGCAGTAGGTATCATCCAGGTCTACCAAGTCTAATGAGCCTTCTTTGGTTTCTTCTATAACATCTCAGAAAGAGGAGGAGATACGGTTTAAAAAATTGTATCGAATCGTATCTGGAGAGGAAATAATGCCTGATTAACGTGAGGTAAGTGATGGAACGTGAATAAAACCAGAGAGAGTATACATCAGGAGGCTATCGAGAAGCACCCGATGAGCTATCTGCCGCAGTTCTGGTGGAACCTCAGCTGGTTCTCCAGGTCGGCGAGGTCCAGCAAGCCTTCTTTGGTCTATCCTATGCGCATCATTTAGAAAGCACAGATGATAATGCGTGAGGTAGGTGATATAGATCAAACCAGAGCGAGCCTGCAGACGCGACTTTCGCATAGGTGGAATAAAAGAGTATCATTCAGATCTATGGGAAGAAGGTTAGGAATTGGATGTTTTCTAACTTTCGGACATTAGCTAGATGATAATTATAGAAGGATCGGTCAAACCAGAGTGAGCCTGCAGGAGGAAAAAGTATAGAAAACAATGCAGACATGTTTTGTCAAATATTATCCCCGCAAAAGATACATATATTTTTCGAAGCCGCCAAGTTAGCACATGACTGAATAGATCATTAGCCAAACTTGAGTAAAAAAACATTGTACGACCCATGACTAGTAAGCGTATTATCATTACGTCAGACGTCTGAATGGTAAAAGGAGCTTTGACAAACACCTCGGAAGCACAAGAGCCAAACGCTGAAGTATTTTTTTGTTTGGTAAATGCAAAACTTTGATATTACTGATTGCTCATAAATATGATTTTAGACTTTGAATAGCTCATATTTCATGTTTGAACGAACGATCAGGAACAAGCAAATGTATTTGGTTGAGTATATTGGACGCACATATCGTTTTACATTAAAATTTATGTCCCATTATCCTTGAATTTAATTTCCATTGTTTTCGACTAGGTAATTGGTGGAATACCATAGCCCACATTTCGTACATTAGGAATACGCAAAAAGCGTAGTAAACAAATGCATAAAATGTTATATTCACAGAAATAAAAAAAAACTAGGAAGTATTAGAAACGATAAATTAAAAGAAATACCCACGTAGCACAGGTTAGTGAAATGACGTCATAATGACGCCTTTCTGAAGTCATTATTGTTCAATGACGTCTAAGACTGCAAAGAGACCTAAAAATGACGTATATAACTGAAGGCTCAAAAGTCGTCCCAACAGTCAACTTTACGTCTTCTGACATTTTCTCCAGAATTTAAAATAAAATCTGATTCCCCTTCATTCATTAGCAGTTTGCGAAGGAATGTGAATAATTTTATCTTTCCAGTGTACAAAAGTGAAAATGCCAATCATACTTCCATGATTATTGATTCAAACATAAAAAATCAACTTAAGAATGTAATCTATATAGTGGTTTTACTGATTATATTCACAGGTTTGAAATATAGGTATGGGGAATAGGTACCTATCAAATAATTTCAGATACAAATATGAATAGCTAATATCAGACTCATATTATAGAGATGCAAACTGATGATGATTCCAGGATTTAACAGGATTACACCCGGAGGGACCAAGTCATCAATGACTGTTTCTATAATACCGTATATAAGCCTATAAAATAATACCATGAATTTTTTTCAGTTTGGTCCCTTACGTATAAATATGACGTCTCATGGCTGTGACATCTTGACGTCTCTTGTGGGTCTTCAAGACGTCTTTTTTTGACGTCAATCGGTCAGTTTCGTGCCCAAATTAGGACGTCATTCGGACGTCACAGTGCTACCTGGGATATTGCATTGAACATTTGCTCGATGGAAAATATAAACTTGGTTCTTTGGCTGAAATTCAAATATGCTTAGCAGATTCTTACCACTCGATAATACAGATCAGTAAACACGTTAATAGATTACAAGTATGGTATGTCAACGATGCGACGAAAACATATTCCAAAAATAAATTGATCCAAACATTGAATCAATTAGTTCTTACACCTAAAGAATATTACCACGAATGCAGATAGGAATTTGGAAAGAGTGTCGATTTTATTAGAGTTCAGTATATTCATGCCATTTTTTATCATTTCAATATTCAATCGATTGAGAAATAAATTGTAGTAAGTACTTAGCAATGTACTTATGTATACAGGGTCTTTCAACGAAAACTTTTAAATAATATTGATGATTGATTTAGGTAGAGCATTTTTCGGAAATCTTCCAAATTCGTTCGTCAACTGCACAATAATTGATATTCGATCCATAAAATGTGTACCTTTGCTCCAGTTTTTTGCCATAAGTGTAAGTTGTCATGATGCTCAGTTGGTCCGGTAAAAATAATAGGGGATTCCCGCAAATCTAGAGCTGAAATTAGTTTTTCTAGTGCGTTCGTACAGCCGTGGCCAGAAAATATGACAGCGTCCTCTTCTGAAGCGTTGACAGCATTCCTTATGATGTCTCTGGCTTCTTGTCTAGAATGAAAAAAAAACATATAAAGATTGTCCCAGGAAAATTGCAAAAATCGCAAATGTTCCTGAAAATTGTGAAGACTGTAAAAATCGCAAAAATTCCTGAAAATTGCACAACTTGGCAAAAATAGCAAAAATTCGGGAAAATTGCAAAAATTCCTGAAAATTGCAAAAATTCCTGAAAATTGCAAAAATCGCAAAAATTCCTGAAAATTGCAAAATTTGCAAAAATTCCTGATAATTGCAAAAATCGCAAAAATTCCTGGAAATTGCAAGAATCGCAAAAATTCCTGAAAATTGCAAAAATTGCAAAAATTCCTGAAAATTGCAAAAATCGCAAAAATCGCAAAAATTCCTGAAAATTGCAAAGATCGCAAAAATCGCAAAAATTCCTGAAAATTTTAAAAATGGCAAAAATCGCAAAAATTCCTGAAAATTGCAAAAATTGCAAAAATTCCTGAAAATAGCAAAAATTCCTGAAAATTGCAAAAATCGCAAAAATGCCTGAAAATTGCAAAAATCGCAAAAATTCCTGAAAATTGCAAAAATCGCAAAAATTCCTGAAAATCGCAAAATTTTCAAAAATTCCTGAGAATTGAAAAAATCGCAAAAATTC